TGAAATGGTCGAGTTATCAGTACAGTCCGCTTTGGATGCTGTAACTGAAGGTAAAATTTTTAAATGGAGTGATGAGAATCTGATGACACAACTGCCTTTACAACCTGGCAGTAGTGCCAGTCTTACTTTATATCTATATGCAGCAACGGATTTCGTAGCACCTTCAATTAGAAATGGTAATACAATATAATTATATTATTATAGTAGCACAATTTTCAAAACTTAGTCCTTTTTTTCTCAAAAACTTATTTTTCAGATGTTATTAGCAGTACCTGCCTTAGTCAACCAAGCAGTCTAATGTCACATTCAGGTCACAGTTCTTTACCATCTAGGCTCAGTTCTCCGTCTCATCATACGAAAAGACAATCCGAGCTGACTTCTTCTTTTAGATCAGGAATAAGTTCACATTCCGGTCATTCTTCCTTAGCAAGCACGCGATTGTCGAAACTTGCAGTACCTTTACATACATCTAACATTATTGAAGGCCAATTAAGAATTAAATACTCAGGAGGTGCAGGCTTAATAAGTGGTTATTGTAGAGTCTCATCTGTTTTTATAACTATTGAGATGCTACCTAGTGTACAAATTACTAATTGGGATGTATTGCCGGCCGAAACGTAAGTTGCAAAAAAAAAACAAATGCTTCATAAAATAATTTATTCCTATAATTTATATTTTACATATATATTTTGTCTATAAAAATTTTTTTCCTGACAATTTTTAGACCATTGCAATTTTATCTTGTGTTGGATGTATCAAATATGACGAATCATGAAATGGAATTACATTATACGCAAAATAAATGTATATACATGGAAGGTAAAGAACCATGCAGAATTCCTGTTCCAGTTGACCGATGTCCACTTAATAAATTATCTATGGTAATACGGAAATATAGTCTGTTTAAAGACATACTGTAATATAATATTATATCATTTTATGCTTATAGTTAAATGGTACTGGTGATACAAGTGAACTCCAAAAAATTTGTGCTGAACATATAGCTTCATTGGTTGATCTGCGCTGGCAATTATTAGGTACTGAGTCAACAGGAAAAGCAACTCTCTCTGGTATTACTCTAACTCAAGATATGTTGGATCTAGTGAGAATGAGTCCTCTACAATGGGGTGCGTAAATACTGTTTACTATAAGTATGTGTGTATAATAACAAAACTTAAAATTACGAACATTTTCCAGAAATAACTATTAACGATATTATTGTAAAAGCACAAGAAGAACTGACATGTGCTTTGGGTGAATGCATTAGCGTTGGTGTGGGAGTGTGCAATGCTCTGGAACATCCTCTGAGTGATCTTACATTGTCTATTAATTTCTATCAGGACCATCATAACGGCGTTAATAATTATCAATTAGAAACAAGGTTATCCATAGCTGGAGCAAATAAAGTCATGCTGCCTACTGTAAGTCATAATTTTCATAAATGTAATGTATAGCTCTGTATGCACACGTTCTATTTAATTATGAATAAATAACAGTTACAGGAATATGGCAGAGCCTATCATGAATGTCGCGTAGTATTTTTTACTTCTGGTCAGTACAAAATAGATATTCAATGCAGTAGTAAAGAATCTGCTCCAAACTCTCCAATACTTTATTCGGAGCTTATAAATGCAGGGCATACATGGCGTTATATACCGCCCATTGAAATAACTGTCGACGATTATTAATATTGATATAAATATACATCACTGTCATCAGTAAATTGTAATATTTGTAAAAAAAGAACATATTAAACATGTAAAAATAAAGAAAATATTTACTTTAATGAAATTAATAATTGTTATATAATTTTTATTGCATATGTTATTATATGATAAATTGTTTACTTCCAACACAATTTATATATGTATAGACTATAAAAAATATAAATATTATCTCTTACTTTTTTCTAACTTAATTTTTTTACCCAGAGGTATCATTTCCATCTCTTGTAAATTCCTCCTGAACTTTTTATAAAATTCTAGTACAGCTGTATTAGCCCATACCTGTTGACTATTAAAATCTAAAACACGTAAACTTTGTAAGCTCTGAGCTCTTGAAAGTGCCACATAAGATTGACCAGCATCAAATACTCTTGATAAGCACATTTCTACACAGTCTAAAGTTAAACCTTGGCTTTTGTGAATTGAAAAGGCCCATGCTAACTTTAAAGGAATCTGTTTTCGATTTATAACAGCACCAGAACTAGTTTTGATAGTCCATTTTTCCATCTTTGCTTCATAATGAGTTCCCGACCGCAACTTAATTATCGGTATATCCTTTTTAAAATCAATAACGACACCTCGAGCACCATTCACCAATCCACTATTAACATTTATATTTTTCATCAGCATAACTTGCGCGCCAACTTTCAATATTAATTTTCCAGGTATAGGCAGCTGCTGATCCAACATTGGTGTCATAGAACTATCAGAATCTAATGCTGTATATACTTTATTCTCACCCTTAAGTTCATTCAACTGAAATTCATTAATCTCATCAGCTTCTTTTACATGAGAACATAATCTAGTTGCTAATATACCATTACTTTCAATTTTTTGTTTCGCCGTTTCCTTTAAAATATCTACAATATCATCCGTGACTCTACCTATTCTAATGTTATTTAATATTTTCACAAACGCCTCATCCTTTTGTCGGTGAACAATTCGCAATTCAAAATTGAAGTGAACACATTTTTGCCAGGCATCGCTTTGAAAGCAAAATTTTGCTTTATCATTAGTTTTAGACACAGGAGGTAATTGAAAGAAGTCGCCACACAAGATCAATTGTATTCCTCCGAAAGGTCTTTCTGTCCTACGCACATGTCTTGCTACTTCTTCAATTTTGTCAAAAAAATCACCGTCTACCATAGAAACTTCGTCTATCACTAAGTGCTTTGTTTTCCTCCATGTTGAGGTTGAAAATGGACGAGAGGCCAACTGGATGCATCTCTCTTTGGTACCAGTACCTAGACCAATGCCAGCAAACTGATGCAATGTAATTCCACCTATGTGACAGGCTGCTACTCCAGTGCTCGCTGTAGCCATTGTTCCATCTGGAGGAAGAGCCGAGATTATTTTCCTTAACAGAAATGACTTTCCAGTGCCTGCACTACCGGTGAAAAATACATTCTTCCCACTAAGCACCGCATTCAGAACTTGAGCTTGTTCTTCTGTTAGTTCTCCTGAGGTAGGATTCTCATACAGCTTTTTTGCTGCAGGTACTTTAGGACCATCGTCACTGAAATGTTTTCGCTTCTTGATTATGCTCGGTGATGGAGTGGTAACAGTTGCACGCGATACAGCCATAGCTTTTTCCTTAGCTCTGTTGGCCTCTGTACTAGTAGCTGGGCTGATATCCTCAGTACCACCTGACTGTACATTTCCAAAGAGCTTCTCCCGCAAGGGATCCTTCACAGTCTTTACTTCTTTGCCTGTCAGCTTGATAAATATGGTCTTTAAGAAATTAATCAGCTGAGAAGAGGGTGCATTTGATAGAAACAATGTGCAGTTTTGTTCCTTGAATTTGATAGAAGCCTTTCCCTCGGTCATGAATTTATTAAATACCGATATACCTTTCAGAGGTAGCTTTGTGAGTACGTTCGCCTTCTCGGCGCGTACCTCTATTAGCATCTCGCGTTGACAATCTCGAATCAGGCGTAGCGACGCCGTTCTGTGAGTCACCTTTCTCAGGACAGCTCCTTGAGCGTTCAACCATTCAAGGATAACGGTGCAAATTAACGAGGAACCGTCGGAATCCATGTTCTTACGGGTACAATTGTAGTCCTGTAAAGCAGAGTTGACTTGATAATAATGCAACAATTTTAATAATAGATACAATATTTTGTAAAAATCTATGTCACCTGTCCACATCAATACGAGCAAGCAAACATAAAACCGCGTGAAATCGTGGCGAACGGCGAATGAATGTGGATTGCGACGTGATGTAGCGAATGGAAAACACAGATTAATGGAAAACCGGAAAGCGCGCGTAACATCTCAGCGCCAGGATGTGTAACTTTAGAAGTTAAAGAGAACCTAGGAGGATATTTTCTAAATATAACTAGAAAACGAGTTTTCTTATTGGGTGCATTCGATTGTACCAGGGCCGTAAAATTATCGTACCTAACCTAGAATTACCGTACTACACACATACATTGCGCGCGCGCGCGAATAAAATTTAAATACGAAATATGTAAAATATTTAATCTGTAACTAAGACGGTCAAAAATAACAATTTTATTTATTACTTAACGAAGTGACTTATGCTGAAATTAGCTTCCAAAATAGATCAGAAATTTCTCGTTCAGTTCTCAACCGATTTCGCTGAATAAATTACCCATTCAGCACTTTAGAAACCCCTTAATTCATATATATCTACACGATTATTGAAACAATAACCGATACTTTTTATTGATTTCAAAAGCTTAAACATTCTATAGAATAAATTTCTCTAATACCCAGGTTAAAAATACAAATTGGAAAGTGATTATTTCAGTATACTTAAAACAATTTTAAAAGAAAGAAACGGTACAAATGTGGCTTTTTACATATATGTGACAGTAGACAGTATAAGTTCACTTATATTGTCATTATCACAATTTTTTATGTATGTAGTACATATATATATTTTTTCGTATTTATCGTAGTAGCCAATGGTAGTAATAATATATATGTATTCAATTCTATGAGAATTATACAATCATAATAAGAGAGAAGAGTAACAAGTCAGAAATACAAAATTATCCTTTTGTTAATTAGGTAAAGAAAAAGATAACATAACTTTATATAGCGTTCACCGTATCTGAGATAAACGGTATTGCAAAAACTCGCCCTATTGAAGTGCTATCGTACATACATCGTACGTATAAGTTATTATCGTAAGTGACGTAAGTGTATGATAATATCGTACGGTTACCAACACTTGCGCATAATTCGAATACGTATGGATACCGGAAAAGTTCGTACTTAATGCGCACTAGTACTTACGATTACGTGTTCGAGGCCCTACTTCAAGAATTATAGAATTAGTGCCCACTACACTAGTGCAGTCTACCGAATTCGCCATTAGACTACTTTGGAGCACTTTGGAGTATTCATAAACTCTTGAATTCTTGACTAGAACGTCTGGCACTTCGTCTGGAAGCAGACGTCGTTTGAAGTAGCTTAAATTAAATCAGTCAGCCAGCAAGAATTCTGACATCATGGCTCTGCTGCCAAAAGAGTCTGCGAAGCTAATCGCCGGCTTGGCGAAGGATGTATTCATCGAGCAGGCAGGCGTAAAGAAACTGGCATTGGCAATCCTCGACGGTTTAAAGACTAGTAAGATCAGCAAGGGCAATTTCTCACAGATCAGATTTCACCCCAAGCCTGACGATCCCAGGGCGGCGGACTGGATATTCGTGCTGGACACGTTGAACTTCTCGTTTTGGACCGAGACCGGCGCGGAAAAGTGGAGTGTCAATGGAGAGACTGGCTACTTTGCGTTCTGTGCCGCTGTAAGCCGAGCCATCGACGAAGGGAAACCTATGTGGGATCCCAAGTATTATTCGCAAATAACGCAGCAAGATGCAGAGATTATTTTCCGAGGTGAAGACGATGTACAAATTCCGCTTATACACGAAAGAATCAAGGGTCTGCATGAGGCTGGAAAGATTCTGCTGGACAAGTATAAGGGCACGTTTGTGGAGTGCATCAAGTCGTGCAACGGCTCTGCGGAGAAGCTGCTGCAGTTGATTGTCAAAGAATTTGAGTCGTACCGGGATGAGGCTGATTACGAGGGGCACAGGATCAGCATTTACAAGAGGGCTCAGATATTGATCGGCGACATCTGGGCCTGTTTCGAAGGACGCGGGCTCGGCAAATTCGATGACATCGACAGCATCGCGATGTTCGCCGATTACCGTATCCCACAAGTGCTTGTACATTACGGCACTATGCGCTACAGTGATTCGCTGATGAGCAAGCTGAAATCCGACGAGCCGTTGAAGCAGGGCAGCAGGGAGGAGGTTGAGATACGTGCCTGCTCGATTGAGGCGGTCGAGCGGGTGTGCGACGAGGTGCGGTGTTTGATCGCAGCCGATTCGAAATTGGACTTAAATCCGTCGAAAGATGTCAACGCAATCGTGATCGACCATTACCTGTGGGACTATCGACGAGAGTATGCGCAAGAATTGGAGCACATACCATTCCACAAAACAAGAACCATTTACTACTAGAGAATTGCGCGGGACGCAAGGATATATACTGAACGAAGAAACAAAAAGATTCCATATATCAAATTTCGAAGAAAGCAAATTACATCTCTATTCCTTCAATTGTTCAATTATATTTTATTATATTTTGTAATGTTCTGTGTATAAAATGCAAGATAAAATGAAATAAAGTTTATATTACATGTTTCAAGATAAACGGCCTTTTTAAACATTCTATAATACAAAAACTAAAATTAGATAATAATTGATAGAATATCTTGGTATTACGTATTGCAATGTAGTGTTATATAATAAGATAAGAGAATATGAGATAAAAAAACAATTATTTACTATAACAATAAACACAATATGTTTGATAAAGATACTTACATGAATTATATTTTTCTTTCAAATATTGTTAACTATTTTATTAGGGTGTCTTTTATATTTTTTGTTACAACAGGAATAAAAATTATTAAATTGCAAATTACTGATATACTGTAATACTTATATTTGTTCATTGTAATTTTATTATGGAAGTATATTTAAGACTTAGCAAAAAAATATACATTATCCGTGTATATAGTTTCTTACATTATTCATATAATTATTTTTGAAAAATCAATTTTTTTGAAATAATTAATACAATTTAATTACATATATTGAGAAATAAAGCTAATAAAAATTTATATATACATTTTTAACATTGGTAAAATAAATTGTATCTGCATTACCGATACGAAAATAATGTATACAGAAGTTTACATATTTATTATCTAAATCTAAATATAAGAGTCAATGGAATGAGATTATTTAGAAATTACATAAAAAAATACTAATTAAAAATGGTTTAATTCGCAATATGCATCATATACAGATCAGAAATTTCTATCAAATATTAGTATTCCATAAATGTATGTGGCTATTTATTAAGTGTTTAATAGAGATTTCATTAAATTAAACCAAATTTTAGTTTTATTCTTCTAATTCTAGTTTCACATGTAGATGAAATTAAACCTGAAATACAAAAATAAATGCAATTTTGTAATACGTCGTGTCTACATCACCATATAATGCATAATACAAAAAGTAAATTTTTTTTAAACACATACCTGCACAGAGATTGTGGTAGGGATGAGATTATAGGGCCATAACCCTGTGAGTTATCGTACAATTCAAATAAAGGTGCAGCGACTAACTTATAATTCTTGGGTACAGCAAAGAGAGCTAAATATGAAAATAATAAGAGAGTAAATATCTTTATGAGATTAATTAAATATATGTCGCAATACTTCCGAATTATCGTTATACCTTTCTCTTGTAACTGTACGAGAAATAGTCTCTTGTGTTCCTTCGGTTTTGTAATGTGTGGCGGCACGTACGGATACTGAGGTGGTTCAAAGTTCGGACGCCACCAGTTTCCAATTGTATCTTCTATAACCCATTCTTGCTTTACCCCGTCCTGCCGACCAAAGGTCTAGAAAGCAATCCCATTTGCTGTTTAACATTGTATTATAATAAGCTTCAAGTAAACTATAAGAATAAAATACATTCTTCTTTTGTCAGTCTACTAAGAACATGGTTGCACAACATTTATTATATTTCGAGACATTTGCGACGATCACCTAATAGCATCAATTCTAATAATATTCAGGTTTATCGACGATTGAGACATGTAGCTATAAGTCTCTTTAGAATAAAAAAACTGTTATGGATATTCAAGAACACATATACATTTTTTTTCACCTATGGTATCAATATAGTATTCATATGAATACCTAATTAAGTAATCGTTATATGTGCTAATAATAAGCTTTAGTAAAGAATATAATAGAGATCATACAAATCTCAAGTTTATTAATTGTCTTATGATCTGACAATTTTGCGAATGAATTCGTAGGCCTATATATTATGCCGCGATCAGATATTTTTCTCTTACAATAAAATTCTAAACCCTATTCGATATAATCGGTTTTCTGAGCTTATAAATTTAAAAAACTCGCGATATTTTTATATACATTCTTCTTGTCACTATTTTACATTCTTGCATTTTATCTTGTCTCTTCTATATTTCTCTCTGTACTAATACATACACTATCGAAATAAGAACAATGTTCTTAGCCAACCATATACAATAACGTGCGATATCTTTAACATCGAAGTGTCCGGGCATGCAGCACGCCAAAAGTACAAAATATTATAAGAATAAAAGAACAAGCCCCTATGTGGAGCTACAGGCCCGGTTACATGAGTTCTACAAACGTTTGCAGGGTTTATACAATAATCATGATGTTTATAGAAGACAATATTACAATCTAACGATATAAAAGTACCACTCCTAGCCAGCCTGTAAGGCAGCGTAAGGCGTCGTGTTAACTGTTACCTCTGTAAGGAGCCGTTTTAGGCCCTCTACCTCATCTTCTCCTGTATTGAGTTCTCCACCAGGTCTGGAATAATAAAAAAAAGAAAGTGTATAAAATTCAGTCATTAAAATGAATAATTTTTCAAATACGTACCCAAACAATACAAGGTCTAAATTGTGACATAAGACGTCTTTTAGATGCAAAAGACATCCTATGACCCGTTTTTAGACCATTTTTGTTGTTTGGATAATTGACAAATTCTTGAAACTTACAATTTGAAGAATGTTGTGCCAAGTTGCAGAAGAAGAACGTGTGGAAGTCCATGCTCGTGTACCAGTAAGACACCTTCTACGCTTCTCCGCATGCCGATCTTGTCGAATTCATCTCTCATGCGCTGAAACCTTGCTGGTACTGATGGATCTTTCTCGAAGAGTGGCTCTTTTGTTCCAAATGTATAGTTTGTCAAAGGATATCTATGATAAATGAGTTGTATTCTTTTGTTAGGCTCTTGTATATGTTTAACTTAATCCATCAGTAATTAAATCCAGTTTCTTCAAATACAGCTTGATGCGATATTACAATATTTAATTACAGAAACTACATATATATATGCATAGAGTAACAATTTAAATTTTTTCGCTATTTTCATATTTCAATATTAGCAGTATTTGTTTTTTTGTAATTTAAGCAGTAATGTGTATATAGATAGAGTAATGATTGTGTCCAAACTTTATTTTTCGAATTTTTTTCGCCTCACTCCTAAGATGATGCCAATCCACAAAAAATAATTTTTGTAAAATTTTAGCTTGATCGGATATTGGCAATCTGTACCCCTATAGCTCGTTAAACATTTGAGTTTCGTCTTTCTACGCTATCAGCATTAGTTTTTATAATTTATTTTCCACAAAAATCGGTCTATAAGACTTTTCTTTTTTTAATAATGCTTACTCATGCAATTCCAATGGATTAATCGTTGATTAAAGTTAAGTCAGAGTTGGTTGAAGTGGCCCTTAAACAGGTAAATTATTAATGTCTGAAAAAAGTTGTTGAATTTTTTGCTTATTTAAGCTAGAAAAAAGTAATACATGAGCTAAAAGTGTTGGTATAATACGTTGGAGGGCAAAATTAGTTTAAAACTTGATTAAAATATGAAAATTTCATATTTTTTTTATTAAAACGAATTTTTATATTTTATATTACATAATAATTAATAATTATATTTTATAATCGTAATTATTAGTGGTATTACTTTGAATAATTCCAAGTCACTAAAAAGATTTTATAAAACTTTAATTCAATTCAATAAAGGAAATCATGTTCGATTTTTTTAATTGTTTTGAATTTTATATGAACCGTTAAATAATCTCAAAATCACTCATTATTAAAAAATCCGTATCTAAATTACACTTTCATTATTTCTACTGTTAATTTTTTTTTAACAAAATAAGATCCTCTTTTAAGTCTATGTTCAAATTCTCACTCAAATACTTGTCAGGTATTATATATTTGTTAAGCAATTGGCGAACGAGCATAAAATGATATTTGGATGGCATTAAAACGAGAATATGAACATAGTCCTGGGAGAGGATTCTACATGTCTTTTATTCAACAAGGTACATGGTATCCCCTAGAAGAGGTCGTTAGAAATTACAGGATCAAGAATATATTATTTTATCCTTGTTGTTATTACTGAATGTTAACAAAAAATACATAAAATGATATTTAAGAGGTATTTAAGTGGAAATTTGAATACAATCCTGAGAGAGTATTTAATATGTGATTGAACTGAACTAAACTTTCATAGATTTTTTTTCGATAACTTAGAATTATTCAAAGTGGTGCCAATGGCCAATAATATGTAATATAAAATGCAAAAAATCGCTTTATTATTAAAAGTATGAAGTATCATGTTTTACTAATTTTGCTTTCAAACATATTGATATTACCAACACTTTTTTAATCATCAATTTTTCCAGCTTGAATAAGCAAAAAATGCAATAACTTCTTTTTTCATTTTTCAGACATTAATAATTCATCTGATTGTGTATGATATTTTAAGCGATACAAAAAAGCAAGACAGAGACATATTAAAAAAAATCAAAGTCCTATAAGCCAATTTTTATGGAAAATAAGCTAATAGTGTAATATAATGGAATTGAAATGTTTAACGAACTGAGGGCACGGATTGCCGGTATCTACTTAAACTAAAATTCTATACAAATTAATTTTTTGGGAAATAAAACCATTCTAGGGGTTAAGGTAGAAAAAGTTTTTAAATCGAAAAATAAGGGTCATCCTTATGGACAGATAATTTAATTATAAAAAATTATTTTATTATCAAAGAGCCTTTATTATTATTAAATATTATTTTGTTAATAAGAATACATTGCATCAGGTACATAAAATTTTGTAATAAAAGACTAATTTTTTAATTTAGAATTTCAATAGAACAAAGTTTCCAATTGTCATTCCTATTATTTTCTTTACATTTTTACTTTCTGAATTTGCATAACTTATGCAGTTCAAATATAAATATAGAACCAAATACTGATAATGCAATGTAATATACATCTAATATTACATTCCATGTATAATGATAGATTATTTGTCACAGAAATATCGCTTTATATTCAGTTTTTACGTACGCTTGTATAAAATACTAATATCTCAACATATCGATAATTAAAGCTCTTCTATAGTCACATTGAACACCTGTATGTTATAATCAAATTAAATTTAAATAACAGGCAAACATAATTTTGTTATTTGTGACATTACAATTGTAGTTGCACAAGTATTTTAACAAGTACTCAATAAATAATACCAATATTTCACTATATTCTTTAAATTCTATTATCATTTTCTATGCTTATAAAATTACATATATTGTAATTGTTTTATAAAATTATTTAAATGTCTCTTTAAATAAATTTTATCTCAATAAATATATCAGTTATATAACATAATTATATTGTAATAATAAGTTTGTTTAAAGAAGATGAAATTGAGAACTTTCAATAATACAATAAAAAAGATAAGCTATAAATATTTGATAAATACATTCATGCAAAAGTCTGCATGATGTCGAAATATACATTGACATATAAATATACTCTGTAACATATTCATTTATAACATAAAATGCTGTAAATATAATATTAGAGATGCACATATATAAGAAGAAGCACAAATAGTTTCTATATGATCATATAATGTTACATAGATCTTGTGGTGTACAATTGCGTTTGTTTTAAGAAAAGATTTGCATTGCTTTCTTATAACAAACTGGTCAGAATAATCGCAATATTTGTATCATATTAGGTACTATCTTAAAATGTAATATAACAAGAAGTATATATATATATATAATTGTGAACTACTTCGTACAATGCAGTACATATGTATACATATAATACATATAGATATAGCATATCTTACATAAAATGGAGTAAAATCATGAATAAAACATATACAGGACTTCCCTGGCGATCATACAAACTTAGAAAATAATACAGCCTTGTCAGAATTGTTCGATCTGCGGAGTGCGAAATCTTAAGATATAAATTGCACTTTAACAATTAAAACGAAAAGAAAAGGGACACAACAGGTTGCCTCTTTACACACAAGAGAATCAATAACCGATTCCTTGCATTACGAATGCAAAGAATAACTGAAAGTAATTAGACTTAGTTTATGATATCACAAAAAGGAAACAATGCTTGACGCTGCGCGCAAAATTAAAAGGCGTACGGCAAAATCTCGCGTGAGAGATAATTGATGTGCGACGCTATATCATCTAGATTAGAGAATCTTAAGCAAATGGTATCGTCATAAATCGTACAGTCTGTTGCATACAAGTCACAGTAGCTTTCCATCCACTGTAAACAATGCATAACGCTATGTGAAAGACGGATACAAGTTGCTTAAAATTCAGGGCTCTCAAGGTAAATTGAGGGACAAACGGCCGATCGTTTACCGCGGTATGAGAGAAAGAGATAGTTCCTTTCTTTCATTCTTTTTTCTCTTTTAGGAAGACGTGATATTTGTTAGCGCGTCTGCCGAGATCGGTCGTGGTCGTGGTCGTTTCTACAGAAGAAAGGCGATCAAAACACAATTAATTCTAAATAGATCTCGCGCGTCACATCGCGCCACTTACAAATTAACGGTCCTGTTGATGGTAACCGACTGATTCTGCACCACCTTCCCCTCGAACGAACTATTGCTCGCTCTCCGTGGCCAGCCGCTCCCCTTAACTTGGTTCGTTGCCATCGCCATTTTCAACTCTTCAAGTGGAAGCTCCCGGTTGCTCTATCCCCAGTATCCCGTAGCTCTGACGATCGTGGACGATCGTACTAATCGCAGGCGCCAAGCAATACCGCAATGAAATATGGAGTAATGGGAGCAATGGAGTAATGGAGTATGGATGTAAATGATGGACGCCGATACCGCGCAACCACTACCCCCAATCACCCCCATTCGCGGTCACATAAGGGTACAGCCACAATAGAAGGAATAAAGGCGCCATTTCATGCTGACGCTTGACGCTCATTTTTAGTGCCAAAATAGATCACGTGATAAAAATTGACCAATATCAAGCGTCAATTTTGATCACGTGATCTATTTTGACGCTAATGTACGACAGTACGATATCCAATAGGAGAGCTTATTTTCTAAGGGCCATTCAGGGGGCCATTCATGCAGAGCGATTGGTCCTTATTTATGAATCTGAATTCTCAGACCGAGAAGTGTGTAACCAATTAACTTGCTGTTTTTCTGTAAAAATTACATGTTGATTGGCTACATATTCCTGGTCGAGTTCTAGCACCGTGGACACAGTGCTTAGAGAACAGATTTTTGTCGACAAAAAGTTGCAGTAGGTCAGGTTGGGTTAGATTATAACACTATCGATGTGGTAGGAAGCGTCTTTTTGATCTGTCATAGAAATTTACTTACAATTTACGGTGGTTAGAAAACGCTATCACACGGTTTTCTGAGAAACAACATACGCGTAACGATAAAAATTTTCTCAATGAGACAAGCGCTATTACTTTGATATTTATAGTATGTACATCTAGGAGAAAAAAAAGGAAGAGGACATATGTGGACTTTCCGACATTCTATCTTCGCTGTTTAATCTTCTAAAATATATGGAAATCATGGAGACATGTCTGATTGACACCACAGAGGAGGGTGGTGAGAAAATCCAAACCAATCATCCAGTTCAAATAGTAAGGGTTCCAGTGAAACATGCCAATCTGGGAATACGAAGTCATGCCATGTAAGTTCTCATAAAAAAGATTATACCTATTTATATGAAATATTTATAACATATTTATGAAAATTATAATAATACTTTACAGGGACATGAGCACGATGGTAGAACTCACATCGTTTAGCACGCTAGGAAAGATACAACCCTTCCTAGTAACCATTACAACCACCGCAGCTTTGTTAGTAGACTTACATTGTCACCTAACAGACAAGGAAGTTTGTGGCTATTTGGGTGGCCATTGGGATATTAACTCACATAGTATATTTAATTCTTAATTGCACAATGTTTATATATGGTGCTTTCTAGTCAAGACATATGGTTCGTTCTTTTTAGGTGAACTTCTTGCACAGTTCATATTTTCTTTTTTTCTATCCAACATGAAGAAAAAAAGGAAGAAAGATGAATCGTGCAAGAACTTTGGTTAAAAAGAACAGATCTGTATAGTGTAAACTTGATGTTTCGTGTGTCAACTTTTTAAGTATGTTGATTGGCTGTAGGACAGAAAAATTTGAGAACCTCTTTGTTCCACAGCTGATTGGCTATTGATTAATAGACTTGAAAAGCTTTTTTAACTGATACATAAAGTATCAGGCTAATGTATTGATCATTTCATTTTTGTTTAACATTGGCAATAAGAAGTCTCTTCAGATTTACTTTACAGAATAATTTTACTATTCTCTTCAGATGTACTTCTTGCATTATTTATCTTTTATTCTTTTTACATAGAGAAGAGAAAAAGAAAAAAAATTTTGCAAGCTCAGCTAAACAAACCTAAGGATATAATAATTTGTTATGTTATATTATGTTATTTGTGTCTCTTACTGGAAAGCATCCATAATTATTTTATCTCACATAATTAATTTACTAAGCATATATATCTTTTAGATCTTTCTATAACATGCGCATTTCCATGTCGATATTCTGGTAAGGATAAATCAGCTGCCGCAGCCGTGGAAGCTGAAATTGCAAGAGCCATGGAGTGGAAACGTGTAACACTGGTAGGGTGGTATCATTCTCATCCACGCTCTCATGCATCACCTTCCTTGAGAGACGTGGACTCTCAGTTGGATTATCAGATTAAGATGAAAGGACATAGCGATAATGGGTATATACCATGTGTAGGATTGATATGCTGTAAGTATTTTAAATAATTTCTTTATCATGCAACAAAAAACTACTGAATAATTATTACTTTCTATTTTGCAGCACCCTACAATATGGACGGTAATTGTTATGAATCAAATTTTAATGTGTTTTGGTCTCTACCGCCACCTGAAAATAGACCCCACGAATATCCTCGACCTATGCTTCTCAGTTATACATTATCGCAGGAACACTTTCTTTCCCAGGACACGTTGGAGGAAATAGTAAATAATTAGATTTAAATCGTTTTTTCTTTATACTTTGAAATAATCAATGTTTTGTAATAATTGAATCGCTTCTAACGTTATACTTATCCATAAATTACATTAAGTTATATTAAAGTCCATTTAAACAAGATGTATATATTTGGAAAAAAATTTGAAAAAAAAAAAGATTAGTTTCTATAAAAGATTATCTTATGTATTGTGTTATCACGTTTGTCACTGATATTTATCTGTATTGTTTACTTTTGTAGAGAAGATGTATAGAATATTATAAGAGTGAGGGTGGCATCGATTTTACTGCCAATTTTAATGGTAGTACTACGTATCTTGAACGTTTAAGAGTGAGTATGTGACAATGACAAATGCAAACATAAATCCTCGCGTTAATTTATATATTAATCTATATGTTAATCCATTTTAATAGTGTTCCTTGGCATCAAAATTACCTGGTCGAAACAGATCAAACAGCTCATATTGGGATGTGATCAGGGAGATGATCTGTCCAGGTTCAGAAGATAGCAATGCACATGATTTTCTGACCATGAAATTTCCTCTGGTATCTGCCTCAGAATCATTGGGACCTACAGTTCCACCTGGCGTAGGTCTTACGGCCAGTAACGCGGCTGTTTTCCTTGCGCCGGTCAATTTCAAACCTGATGGCGGTGCCATAATAACGCCTACTTCCAAGCCGTTTGTGTTACAACCATCGATTTCTCGAGACAGCATCAAGAAGGACAATACCATAGGTCCTAACGATGCCGCGTCTATCACTCAGATAAAAGACGGCAATTCTATCGTGAGTTCCAAGCATATGTCGCCATCGGAGATAATACCGAGCTTTCAATCGGGCGAACTCACAGTGTCGGTGAAGAATGCGAAGAGCGACTATGATTTTGCATCTGCGGACTTCTCGAAACTACCGAATCTAATTGGTGACAGTAGTGCCAAGTCTCGAACAAATCCCGACTTTCCACTGGCGGATATCACTCAACAGATTACGAAGTTTTCGGATCTGTCGAAACTGGCAAATTTTCCCACTACCGATTTAGCGAAGCTATCAGGCTTCTCCATCGCGGACTTTACAAGAACTTCATCGCCTTCACCGTCCACGTATATGCGCAACATTGCGAATCTGTTCGGTCCCCTCGGCAAGATCTCACCGGCAAAAGACATGGACGGTAATGAACGCAAACCGAGTGATTTCATTACCGTTGACGCGATTTCGTCACCTTTCAAGAGTGTTAGCACATCAGAAGCTTGCAGGAATTTCTCGGTGAGCGTTGACGATTATACGAACGATCGAAAGAAATTGGACGCACAAACCGACCCGACGAAGATCGGCAGGCCGGGTGAATATCAAGGAACGGAGGATCTAACAATATCGAGCGTTAAATCTGACTTCGGGAACATGTTGGACATGACGACGTTACATAAAAAACAGTCATCACAATCAATCGACATGGGAGATTCGTTCAATCTTTCTAAAGATCGGTAAATCAGTGAAGTATTCTCGAATTATCATACTGATAAAGAATCATTCTAAAATTTTTTGAAAATTTGCCATTTTTCCAAATTGTCAATTTTTGAACACAGTATTAAGAATGCGTGCATCTAAATCTTGTTCATTAATAACTTAAAAAAAAAAAAAGAGTATTATTGAATGTGTTGAAAATTAATATTACGTATAATGCTATTTTAAATTATTTTGGATTTTATTAAACAGTATTTTTTTGTAACATATAAGAATGTACAACAACTATGTTGCTAATACTAGTAGTGGTAAATCTTGCTAGCAATTGAAATTAAAACAATTCAAATCTCTATGTTTAGTGCTCAAAGGATCCCGTACAAAATTATAGAATTTTGGCTCTTGGTGAAATTGGTTGAAATTTTGGTATGTTATAATTCTTGGCTCACTATGTGTAATCAAAAGTGTCCATAAGTACAAAACTTGAAAATAACTAGTTTTTTTGTTATAGCCGTTTAAAGTTTTATTTTATTAATGTCTCAAAATCAGGTTTCTGTAATAAATCAAGAGATTTTAGATAACAATATGCCATTTTACCCCCCCCCCCCCCCCATCAATAATCTTTTTATTTTTACGCATTAATTTCCGTGTCCGACTCCTCTGATGTCCTTTTTCATTCAATTTTTGTAATATTAAGGAGTCTTTACTATTTATTTTATATTTGAGACAAAAAAACTAGTCATTTTCAAGCTTTGTGGCTATGAATACTTTTGATCAGTGAATCACTATAACATACTAAAGTTTCAGCTAATTTTTAGGGCCAAAAGTTTATGATTTTGTGCGTGGTCCTTTATTCTTTGCATTTTATACTATGGTATATGTACGAAAACGTATATGTAATAAGTTGTGAATATTAAATGACTTCTACAGTGATTTATTTTATATGTTTAAATGAATATTCTATTTGATTTAATTTTATATATGCCTAAAAATATTAGAATATAAACATAAAACCAGCGATTACTTGATAATTACTTGAAATATTAAAATAATTCATTATACATAAAAAGAAAAATTGTTTCTAACCGTTTTATTAGAAACAAGTCAAATATATACTTTTTTAATAATTTTTTAAATATATAAAAAATTAATTTTACAACATGTGTGCAACTTGTTAAAAGAAATTCTTGAACTTGACATCAAAAGATTTTTTAATTTTAATTTTTTTATTATTAAATCAAAATATTCAAAATAATTATATATATAGATTAAGGAAATATATAATTCTTGAGGCATAATTATAATGTTAGTGACTGTTTAGACAATTTGTAATCGATTATAATATAGTCGTTTTTTTTTAGAAAACATTTCATTAATGTTTTTCTTTTTTAGTTTATCATTCAAGTGAAGAAGATCCGAAGCGGATCGAGTTATTTTTACTGTTGCCTGGTCGGTAGAAACACATTAATATTAATTTATGCAAAACTATGTTTGGAATCTCCCATATTCCCGTCTGCATCAACTTTATAGATACCGATTTTATTCTTCTCAAAGACATAGTCTTGTCTAATAGCGAGGATGAAGCGCTTATACGTTGGAATTGTATTTTTCATGTATATTTACGTGATACAAGGCCAGGATCTGATATTTCCAACTGATGAGGAAACATCCCATGTTAGCGGTGGTAACTCTACGGTAATATAATATTAATTCAACATTATTTAGAGCAACTTTTTTTATTTATACTCTCGTCTTCTCACAGACGATAACGGAACGTATACCTGTATCAATACCGGATAGTTGCCCGGAAAACATGCTTCTTTACTCAGGCAGTAGTGCGAAGAATTCCTGGGTGTGCGATTGTAGGCCACGGTTCCTGTACTTTCCGTTAAATGACTCCTGTTACGAAGCCTACAGACAGGGTCCCTGTTCATATAAGAATTACGTCGTACTTCTAAAGAACGAGGTGGTTCCTCGTTGTGTGGAGAATCCTTGCTCGGAAGACGGCATAGTTCCATATAACGGTGTGTGTTATCCTCTCAGAACTATAGGTGGTCCGTGCGCGCCTACAGGAGTATTAGGCGTGAACGAGACAACTTTTCAATTGGAATGTGTACCATTGGACATTGCAACCTTCATGATAATAACGAACGTTCCCAAAAGAATGTGTCCACCAGGCAGTCACAGAAACATGCTTGGAATATGCAGAAATGTATGAATATATAAAAGTCCTGATCCAGTTTCACATGCTGTTGTTTCTATTGCTTATTTTTATATGATGCTATATATCTTACATTTTCCAGATTAGATATGATTATATAGATACAGTATATTATATATATAATTATAACTTTGATATATAAAATTTAGGATAAATATATCTTATAAAACATAAATGTATAAATTTAAGGTCTGAAGGAAACTTAAAATAATTTTGATAATTTTTTATAAATTTAAGAATATGTAAGATTTATAAAAAGTTGCTTTAACAATTAATGTATCACAATATGTATACTGAATAAATAAATGTATCATAGAAATAAATGTAATAAAAATTGATAATCGTTTCTTATTTTTCTGTAGATTTTTGTTATTGAACATTGACATATAATACGACCGTTAACAGTCTCTAATCATCTCTGACTAAACATTTTTCATTAAAAAAAAAAAAAAACTCAAAATTCAGTTCTGCGCGTTTCTGCGCACTTTTGCACATATGTAACCACGTGGTATTTCAATATGCCATGAGCTTTTGATTGCTAGTTCGATAGGAAATTTCTAGCGATATAGAAATTTCAACCTATCAGAGAGTGTGCGTATTCTATAGTGATTAAAATTTTGTTATTATATACAGAGTGTATCATTTTAATTGACGCACCCACACTAAAATATATCTTTTAAAAATATATTTTAGAAAAAAATATTTCAGATAAAAGTATTCTATTGTAGTATTCGAACTACATCTATTTTCGATGTTATCTGCGTTCTCTGTGCTACGATTTTATCGACGGAATCCGTAAATGGACGTAGCCACGTAGTTCTCAAACTACGAAAAAGGATGTATTGGCGGTAGTGTATGAGCAATTTCGTAGGTTTCTGGCGTTTCTGGTGGATTTCTCTCTGAATAGAATCATCGCTGTAATAATATGTAAATTAAAAAAAAACAATGTAAATAGTAACGAAATGTTTTTGTGAAATTACATTTAGCAAATCTCTCTATATATTATTACAATTATATTTTATTATGTACAATCGATGCGTTACTTAAACTTTTATGCCACAGATCAAAATGTCGGATGAAGTATGAAGCTTTTTAAGTTGATAGTGCATCAGAAGAATTTCAGTGGAGAAGACCTGATCATCAATCCGAAGGATTATCCAGGTATAAAAACCGGCGATGTTGTCGAAATTTATCATCCCGAAGATGAGTTCAGTCGCTTGCTGTTGCAACTTACCTCCTTCAAGGAAGACCTCCAGGGTCGCGAAACTATTAGCGTGGAAAATAACGTAGCGTCTATGTTTCAACTGCGAACATTCGCTGATGTATATATGAATATAGTGAATCCGGATGATGTAGCTCTAGATTCTGTAGAGTTAACTTTTAAGGATCAGTATATGGGACGCAGCGAAATGTGGCGCCTAAAAAACAGCTTGGTACTATATTCTTTTATTTTACATTTATATTTGTAATTGATTGTGTCTTCTGTATTTTTAAGCAATATATATATATATATATATATTGTTTAAAAATATATTATCTTTAATATGATCTATCAAAGAATAATGTTGTGTTCTTTTTAGGTAAACACTTGTGTATATATCAATAAGAAGATAGAGTTTTGCAGTGGTAGTATACGTTGTCAAGTGTATGAAATGTGGTCACAGGGTGATCGTGTTGCTTGCGGTGTTATAACTGATGATACTAAAGTTTGTAGGAAATTGTGATATTTTATTAATATCGTACCTTTGTTTTTATTACAAAAATGGAAATTTGATTTGTAGGTAGTGTTTCGATCTTCTACAAGTATGGTGTATCTGTTTATTCAAATGAGTACTGAAATGTGGGATTTTGATATACATGGAGATCTTTACTTCGAGAAAGCAGTTAATGGATTTTTAGCAGATTTATTTCAGAAATGGAAAAGAAATGGGAGCAATCATGAAGTTACCATAGTACTGTTCTCAAGAACTTTTTATAATGCAGCTAGTTTGGAGGAATTTCCAAATCATATGAGAGAGTGTTTGCAACATGATTACAGAGGAAGATTTTATGAAGATTTTTATAGAGTTGCAGTACAAAATGAAAGGTTTGAAGATTGGAGTAATATCTTGGTACAGTTACGTAAACTGTTCACTGATTATCAAAAAATTGTTTTGGAATATCATCAAAAACCAGATATTAATATGCCTAAGGCAGTAAATTCCACTGCTGCACAGGGTAATTTTCTGGAAGTGTTAAATATGTCTCTGAATGGTAAGTATTATAAGAATAAAAAATAATTTTAATTTATTTATCTATTTTGTATCTTATTGTATTCATAATATTCTGTCTGTATCTCTATTCATATCTTTATAGTTTTTGAAAAACACTACTTGGATCGCAGTTTTGATAGGACTGGTCAGTTATCTGTAGTTATTACACCTGGAGTTGGAGTCTTTGAAGTTGATAGAGAGCTGACAAATGTGACAAAGCAAAGAATTATTGATAACGGTGTTGGAAGTGATTTAGTATGTGTTGGAGAACAACCACTTCATGCAGTTCCATTATTAAAGGTGCTATAAGTATAAATATAAAATATATACGATATATATATATATGTATAATTTATTTATATATGTGCAATATTTGTGATTTTAGTTTCACAATAAAGATTCTTCTATAAATGCACCAGATGATTATAGCATGCCTCATTGGATAAATCTTAGTTTCTATTCCACGAATAAAAAGATTCCCTATTCCACATTTATACCACGAATAAAATTGCCGCCGAAGATTTTGAAGCATCAAACAGATAATGACAAATTACATTGCAAAACCAGACTTCTGCAAGAAGATCCAAGAGAATGTCTGCATAATACATTATTTGATTATGATGCTTATGATGCACAAGTGTTTCAATTACCTACAGTTCACACTTCAAGGTAAATAGGATATATTATTGTTTAGCATTACATGCTTATATATCTAACTTAATAGATTCGAAATGTTTTCAATATGATAAAGTAACATTTTCTTTTTTTTCGTTTTTGATAGTGTTTGTAATGTATTATAGAAATATAAATTATGGTAAAATTCTGCGCACAATACATAAAATTGATAAATCCAATCATTTATTGTTACTTTATTGAATTAGTACATATATCTCATTGCCTTTTCTTTCAATCATTTTAGTGTACAAAGGTTAAATACGAGAAGAAAAAAGACGAGCGTGGTATGTCTTGAAACTCATAATAATGGCTATTTATTAAAGCTCTTGAAACGTAAACTGTCAGATCCTGATATACATCATCCACCACCTGAAACACATTCACCGCCAATTCTTGCACTACGAAGTGCAGCGATAACGATACCGCATAAAACTGATGATGATAATATTGAATCAAATGAAGATAGAACTGGTAAGTACATAGATGTTTGGTAACAATTTTTTTTATTATTAAGATATTTATTAAATAGTTGTAATAATTGCAGGTGTATCCAGAACGCCAGTCAAAAGCGATTTAACTGACTCTGAAATATCTCCACCTTTTAGACCTGTTGTTGGTAGTGCTGGTAGCCCAACGAACTCAATTTCTCAACCAACGAATATACTTAGGCCTGGTAGAGCATTAATCAATCCTTTTGATCCATCACATGTTACCATTAAACTTACCAGCAACAGACGACGGTGGACTCACATATTTCCGAAAGGTATTTATTTTATATTAGTAATATACAAGTTGTCTCGAATTTAAATGGCCAATTTTCGGGAATGTATACGAGATAGATTTATTATGAAAAAAATTAGTTTTAATAACTTCTGAATTGTCACTTTGTATATATTATTTGGTATATTAATTTGCTATAAAGATGATATACATTATATAAAAAAACTATTAAAATTATATCACTATAATTTTATATATTATATATATATATATATATATACACATACATAGGTCCTACAGGAGTTCTAATACAGCAACATCATTATCAAGCTGTTCCAATGCAGTCACATTTGGAATCGCAAAGTGAAGTTATACCATCAACCATAAGCGGATCTCAGATGGAAGTTGGGGCGAATAATTTAAATCAGATTTCAAGATCAGCATCTCAAATAAGATTTCAAGATTGTTAGTATTTAATGTTATTTTTAACCATTGATTTCTATATACATATGTTTCCGTGTGTTGTATGCATGTTAAATGCACTTCTTCATGCGTTTTTCAAATTAAACGCTCATGAAAACAACCGTGCACAAACGCACGCGTTTGACGCACATTATAACGCATGGAAACTAACTTTAAGATATATAAATATAATGCCTGATATATGTATGCCTGTATTCATAGTCAGACTTTATATTTAAGGCTTCCTTTTAATTTTCAGATGCTTTATGAATTATTTGAGCTATTGAACATTTAAAGATAAATTTAAGAAAGCATTAAATATAGAGCCTGACTATGAATAACGGGTAATAATAAATAATCAATTTTCTATTCTTACAGATACGAAAGGAAAGTCACCGCGATCTAATCCCCCTACAGTTGCTAATGGTGATAAAGCTGCGAATCCTTCAGCTATCGCTAATAAAAGTCTTACTCTCCTGTGGGGTGCTACTGGTGAGCAGGAATGGACGCCTGCTCTAACAACAGGTTTGATTTTAGTATTTTTGATAATTTCTTTAAATTTTTATACTTACACATTTTACAGGAAGTGATAGATGTTAGAGACATCAATTTTATTATCATGTGTCCAAACTTTTACTTAATATATTGTTTCTATCATTATACATATATATTAAATTATTAGGTCAAATATTAATCTAATATAAAGTAATTTAAATGGCTTGGTGGAAAAAGGCGTACGGATTTAGATATTATAAAGTTTATTATTCTATAATCAACACATTGTAGGCTTTAAAGAATGCAACAAAGTTATCGACTTAGTGTGATTATTAATATGCTTACAGTCTAAAAGAGAGAATCCCTGAATGATCCTGAATAATAATATTCAAACATATTTAATTGAATAACAAGTTGTTGTTCAATTTACATTACATATAACATGTAATTCCGGTATCCAATATCCATAATTATATATAACGCTTTTTACTTGTATTGTGCTTTTTAATCATATATATATATATATATATATAATATCTTACTCAGAGTTTTTTTATATAAATCATAAAAATATCGATATATAATAAGCAGGAGTAGTCCTGTGTTTTGACTTTAAATTACAGCATTAAATAATAAAAATTATTTTTCTGTTATGTTTTATATAATAAATTTAATATTTACATATAAATATATACCACATTATTTTTAAACAAAATATAGTCAGCAAAGGCAGAGACAATAGTTGGGACACATTATTTTGTTAAAATTACTATAGATTTGTTTCTGTTTATAGACAATACAATGATAGTGAAGAATTAAATTTAATGCAATTACATGTCTGATATCAAATATTAGTATAAAAAAAGATTAATGAATTATTACAATTGATAACACTTATGAAAGAATGAAAATACTTGGAAACATCTTAAAAACAAATCACAATATAGATGATATTATTTATTACATTCATAAAATTGAATATATATTATATGATACAAAATGTTCTTGTAGTATATTTTAGTGATAATTTATATCTTCATAGTTTTCCAGTGTATTTTCTTTTTCATTTATTTATAATTTTGCATATATTTCATAGTAAAAAAATGTAGTGTTTTCCTTTTTATAATAGCTTCGCTTAATACAATCTTGCAATTATGCTCTGTTCATAGAATCTTTATATTATTGGATGAGATTACATCCAGACATATATATTTCCTACATCTGCGAAAAATTTTTGCAAACAAATAAATATTTTCATTCTTGAAAATATCCAATATTTATTTTTACAAGATCATCAATCATCGATACGAATAATGTTGTTTATTTCCATGCTATGGTACGTCTAATTGGGATGCAACGCTGGACACATTGATACGTGTGATGTACAACGTGTATGATGTCACTTATGCTGTTTTACAGCAATCATAGGTTAGCGCCATACATTATTAGAGATTGATCCGGTTATGGTATATATTTATTTATTTATATATTAGGAAAGTTAGTCCAAAGTAGAAGCGTCTATTAAATAGTTCTTCATATTTCTTCACCATTTCTACGTCATAATTGTTCTGTGGCTGCGTTCTATTTCATGCATGATGCACATGAAGAGCATAGAAATCGTTTGTTTCACTCATGTACAGATCGGACAAGTTCAAGACAGCAAAGTGGCCAATGCCCTTTTCTACTAATGTAGATTAACTTTAATTTCGATTCAATTTGTTTTTCGTCTTTTTCTAGTTCCAAAAATTAGAAAAAGATGAATACACATAACACATAAGTAAGTTAAACCGAAATTAAAATTAATCTACATTGGTGAAAAAGGGTATTAGTAGGTTTTCCGAATGAGCATGATTGATTTTTCTGTGAATCCAACTAATCATGTTTAATTACTCGGTAAGCAGACCTAGCCTCTTTGTTGACTTAAACTCGCTCATCATGTGCATGTGGTACCTATATACGCTCCTAAACAATATGATTCGCTAACTTTAAACCCTTATAATTAAAAAACTACTTTAGTTTCGACATATTGAGTGAGCTCTGAATTACGCATAAAGCGCATGATGTATCACTACTCTTTTTTATTATTCAATGAACAACAATAATAAATGACGCATCATGCGTTTCATCCACAATTTGGAATGCATACTTTGATATTAAACTTCATCTCAAGAATCTGAACTTTATCCAGGGAGAAACGAGCTGTGAACGATTCGCATTATTGTCTCACTTTAATAAATTTATTTCATTATTTTAATTCCTAAAACAAAACTTTTATAAGGTAGAATGACATGGTAGCGCTAAATAATGTCAGTAGCATTAAATAACGTCTCTATTAAGAACGCAACCTAAACTAACAAAACGTGTTTAGGCCTTTAATTTGACGTTTACATAAAGATATCTGTTAGATATGAAGAAATTGACTTGTATAATCAATAGCTCGTTTACCTGTATATGCAGGAGTTTTGGGGTTAAAGCCTTAACTGTGTGCCCCTAAGATGCTGAAGCTTTTTATTTGCCAGGCAAAAATAAATCAGATTGACATCGATTAGATTTCTAACAATGTTTAATCGACATCGATCCGATTTTTATATTCTCTCTTAGAAAAAAATATTTAATTATTCATCCTTGTTTTATAATTAATGAGTATTATATATTTATTTACGAGGGAGGGAGAGAAGGGGTTTCAGATAAGCCCTTGGGCGCTAATTTTCTAAACATTGCTATTCTGCTTGCAATTCAAAAGATATTTCATAAATCAAAATCTGCTATTGTGTGAATATAAGATTTTTGCATGCCTGTTGTAACATAATAATAAAAAAAAATACAAAATTACATGACGTCTAAAATAAATACTTTTAATTTTAGATATAGACGCCTCCGACTTCTAATAGACATTTATCCGATCTCATATTTCTCCCTGGGTAAACATTGTTACTATCTTTACGAGACACCCTGTATAACATATATTTTTTTCTTGAAAATTTTTATCTATTCTTTTGCACTGAAGCTTAATGTCTTCGCTATAAGCAGCTTTCATCTATTGCATAGATCACTCTTCGTTTTTCACTGAGCATTTCACGTTTACTCTTTCGCTGTTTTCGTCAATTGTATGTTACCTCACGTAAAGCTTATATTTTTTCGCATTATTAATTTTTTAATACTGTTTTATGTGTCTCCTCTCACTGACAAAATGTGTTATTAGTCTTAATTTTTCATATTTATTTATTAAGACATATCTATGATACGTAGTTGTTTAAAAATGCTTATTACATTATATTCTCTCTTTTCTGTAGATCTAATCGAGTAACTTTATTGCACTGAGGTATAAAAAACATTGTGTATCTATTTTAGATTTATTAGTTGTCTAAAATATATATACAGGGTGACTTGATAAAAAGTTTATCACATTTGTTTTTTGAAAATTGTTAGAGATGAAGGGAAGACACTTATTTTATCAAAATTATAGGATAAGTAAGGGAACATACTTTGATCTTGAGTAGCTTTAAATTTCCTTGGTTTTTTACTACCAATAAAAAAAAGATTTCTTTTTTAATGGGAAGGAATATTTTTTTAGTCATTCTATTGATAATACTCATTCAGCTGAATCTTTGTATTAGATTATTTCTCCCAAAACTCAGTTATTTTTGAGATATAAATTAAAAGCAGTCAGACAAATTTTGAAACCTTTTTATTATTGCAATGTGACTGTACGCTTCATTTGTCAGAATTTGCTCGTTGGAACTAAAGTTTGAGAAAAGCATGATGCATAAAATATTTCACAAAGAATATCTTTACTAACAGAACTTTTTGACATGTTGACGTCGGCGACGGAATCGGGAGCATCCGACTCGGAGGTATCAGGAAGAACGGTTACCAGTTGAAAGCGATAGACTGGCGAACTGTATACCATGAACAAAAAATTTCAAATTTTTAATTTTACTTTAAAATTTATATTCCGAAAAAATATTAAAATAGTTGAATTTTCGAAGAAATACTAATACAGCTGTTTGAATATTATAAATATTACAAAATAAATAAAAAATATCCTGTCCAATTAAAAAGTTTCTTTTTATTAATAGTAAAAAGAATATTTGAAGTAACTGAAGGTCATCAAAGTATTAGCGTTTTTCAGTACAGTGGCTTTGAATCCCACCCAGATCAATTAACCTATGTTTGATCCGAAAGTATCATGACTTTGTGCAATTAGAAATCAAAATAGAGCATGTGATCGATTCGACTTGGGTTACGTTAAAACCTATTGCAGTTGAAAACGCTATATGTCTTCTTACTTATCCTACAATTTTGATAATAGGTGTCTTTTCCTTATCTCTAACTTTAAAAAAATGTAGTTGACTTCTTATCAGACTCATTCTGCGTATATACAGGGTGTGCAGTAATGATCCATAATCTCTCTGATGAAGCGGACTAAATTGTGTATGAGTAAAAAAGTTATCTATTATTTCAAAATTTTTGTAATAGTTAACGAGATATTAATTTCTAAAGATTGTTGAATAAAAATTCGCATCCGTTCAACCTACTATCAAATGTAATACCACCGCCTAGCGCTGGGAGATGCTTTCTTTCGCTGCTTGTGCATCGCCAAGTCCGTGCGATTTAGCGATTTTTTAATAATATCTTGGTAACTATTGTGCAAAATGGTAGAGGACTTTTTGACTTAATTTAGGTCGCTCTACTTGCTCATGAAGCATTATGCGGTCATTACCGGACATCTTGTATATATAAATTAATATAGGTGTTCCATTTTTGCCCTGAAATATCTCAAAATGTATAAAAGGTACGGAAAAATGTTTTAAGCAAAAGTTTTATGACTTTGAGAGGGATATAAGATGTTAAAACTTTTAAGTACAACTTGAAAAATACTTAATGAAAGAATATTTTATTATAATGTTTTCAAAAGTTCTCAAGGTAAACTACGAGAATATGTAATAAAGTGACGGATACTATAGTATTTAAAAAATTTAACGTGACCTTGCTGAGAATCTGTGAAGTTAGCACGACATATTTTAATTTTTAATTTTTTAGTATTACATTGTTTATTTTTATAAGAAACTGTAGAATTATGAAAAGTGCTACTGGAACTGTTGAAATTTTTTTGATATCGACAGAATGTCGTGCTAGCTTCACTGATCCCCTTGCTGAGACCTAATTGATAACATTATTCAAGATCAAATCAATGATATCATCTTCTGTCCCCCTCGAAATCATAAAACCTTTGTTTAAAACATTTTTTTGTACTTTTTTATATTTTCTAAGATATTTTGAAGCGAATGTTAAAATAGGACACCCTGTATATAGGATGGACCCGAACATTTCAACCAGATTTTGAGATTGTATAGAAAATTTAATTCTTTGTAACTCTTTTATGTGTGTTTCGGTACTTTTTGTTAAAAAGCGCATCGTTATTTTACACAGAGGTTTTTGAGGGATAACTTTTTAAGGAAGCATTTTTTGACCCATGTTTATAGGAAGCTTTTTGTTCAAAATTAAATTTCTTATAAAATCATAAAAATCTCGAAGTCTAATCGAAATATTCGGGGCCACCCTGTATATGTATATACAGAATATTTTCATATGTAGACAGATCAGACTAAATTGAGTCGAAAAGTTCAATAATCACTTTCAATTTTCGCAATAGTTAACGAATTATTATTAATTAACAATTCCGCGTGCCTATAGCAACTCGCTGGGTGGCTGCATCTCACCATGCGCTTGCATTTGGCAGTAGCTTAGGCGTAATTTTTAATAATAATTCGTTAACTATTGCGAACATTGAAAAGTTGTATAGGACTTTTTGATTCAGTTTAGTTCGCTATTTCTCTACATGTGAAAATAATCCTAAATATTCTTGGATACCCTGTATATACATATAATAGTATATAGAGTGTCGTGGTATACACGTGATTAATAATTAAAGTGATATATCAGTATAAAATATTTGTTATTAAGCACATTATAACTAATAATTGTCAAATAGCATGCATTTAGAGAAAAAGAGACCTTTTGTCTCTTATCATGTATAAATTATAGTATTCACATTCACGAAATATGAACGTGTATAAAGTAGAGTGTCTTTATGTAATGTAATTAAATTTATGATATAATTATTTAGATTAGGAGATCTTCTGTCCTCGATGATCTTGACTTTGATGACAAGGTCATAACTCTGAGTGATCTCCAACAAATTTTAGCTATCGCTCGTTATTTATTAAAAATTTGGTTAGCGACAATCAAAGCTGGTAATTATTTTTCCGGTTGTTATTTCCGTTTAAAATTTGTTGGAGGTCATTCAGAATCATGACTTTGTTAATTGTGAAGGTCAAGATTATTGGGGGAGGAGGGGTCCGTTAATCTAAATAATTATCGAATTTATTAATATATGGAACGTATTCAATACGATGAAAATTGAATTGAGTGTACAGAATATTTCAAAGATTTTTTTAACATAAAGGCCTGTATTTAAGCAAAAATTATATGAATCATAATATAATTTTTTTTTAAATAAACTTAAATTTTTCCTAAAAATGTAACTAATTTTTTTGAAAAACGTGCTATTATTAATATACGTATTGTAGAATATTCTGTGTCATGAAGACTATGTATCAGCGGTGTCATTGAAAAACTAAATATTATTTGCACTGGTAAAGGGATATTGAATCGGCAAGGCAGTAGATTTTCTCGATAATTTGATATTTCTCAATCATTAAAATTACATTTTTTTATAAAGATCATTTTATACAATCGAGATCAAAATACATATAAAATGATGATCATTATAAGAATGTAAAATAATAACACCTCGATTTTTAGAACTTCTATTTATTTGCAACAAATAATATCTTATCGAGCATCTACTCTTTGTGATTACATATGGAAGAAATAGATATTAAATGAAAATAGAAACAAGAAAATGTTGAACTAGAAAAAAAATATAAATAAAATTATTATAAAATTACAATTTATCTGTTTCTTCTTATATATACAACGATGTTTTTAATCATTTCAATTACTTTAAACTCTTGTTCGAAATAGGGGTCGACTGGAAATCTTTGACAATTCCTGCGTGTCTGCCCATCACTACTGATTACTTCCCAGATAAGCGGAGCTTACAAAACGATTATGTTGTATCGGATTACAATCTTCTTCCAGACGATGTGAACGCTGATTTTGCTCAACAACGAGCAATATACAAAAAACCGCTCACAACTGTTGAAGTATTTAAGGAGCTGGTCTCACAGCGTTTGGCCCAAGTATAAACAAAGCACTCAGTTTTATGTACTTTTATGTAATTATATCTATGTGTGTTCTGAAATAATCACGAATATTGTATTATATTAAGGGTTTCCAGCTAATTATTTTATCATCGTTTAATAAAAATCAAAGTAACGCCGCTGGTAGCAATACTGTTCCAGCGATTAGTACAGTAATGCGTGGCAGACAGACAGAATCTGAGCCCAAAGAGGAATATCTGCTTAGTATTGGAAGAATTTTTCATAAAATATCACTGTTCGATAATTCTATAACAGTTACGAGATACCGTCCGCGGTAAATATTATATAATTATAATTATACCAACTAATTAATTGCATGAAACTTAATATATCTGTTTTATGTATTTAATTTTTAGTTTTTTAATCGTATGTTTAAAATCAATTTTGTCGAAACTTCGATTTATCATATAATATAATTTTATAATTTAATTGAATTATATGTATATAGTTTATTTTATTTTATTTTCTTACATATAAAATTTTTTAATGGATTAACACACTGAAAATAAGATATAAGAGTTGTGCTTCAACAAAAATATATATTTAATTAAATTTTATTATAATTACTGTTTTTCTAGTAAAACACATGACACAAACATACAAATTCTAACACATAAGAAATATTAGCAATAATTATGTTTGCAGGCACCCTTATCCACCTTTTAATATTCACTATCAATATCGATTTCATGCTCCACATCACGACACGTATGAAGTCTCTCGGGTATCTTTCACCACAGAAAAGCTCGAGACTTATAACTGGAATTATCTGGACCATTACATTTGCACACGAGGTCATACTGATTTTGCTTTAGTGGAAGTGAGTCGATTTCCAAAAGTCTGGTTTCTTGTATTATTAAAAAAGTACTAACTTAGATGTTTCATTTTATTTCAGGATCTTAAATATGTTTTCTTTCAGGCTCTCAAATATTGGAGGTTTCGAGTATTTCTATTACCATATAATAATCCTGCGACTCGTAAAATTTTAGAAGGTTCTCCAAGATGTGATATATACACTACGCTTAGTAATGCTGAACAGGCATCATTAATGGACGGCTTTTTGCGCTTTATCGAGGGCTGGTTGAACAAAATACGGCGACCGAATCCTAATAAAAACTGGGTAATTTTTCCTCTCTTTATATTTGTTATATATATATATATATATATATATAGATAACGATTCCCAAATTATTATTTATTTTAAATGTATGATCATTAATTTGATAAATAATAGAAGACATTCCGAAAAGTAGCTGCATTGTAGTAACAAAACTTTATACTGAAAAAATATTTTTCTTTTTTTTTTAATTTCTAACTTAGTAGGGAAACACCAAGATAAGCAGTCTCCAATTTAGCTGAATTAGATACACGCACACACATATCATATATACATATATAATTCAGCTAAAATAGAGACTGCTATCTTGATGTTTCTCTTATCAAAACGTGTAAGATTTGAGCATATGATATTGATATAAATCTGTTTGAGATATCCCATTATATTTATAAATATTTTAATTGCAGTTATTCCATTCTGTAATATTTATTTAAAGTTGCTTGATAGTTTTGTTGTAAATTATACTGTTGAGGAGATATGTTTTATTTTCTTTATTTCAATATATATATATATTTAAAAAACAAAAAAATATATAAAAATATATATATTTTCATATAAAAAATATATTTACATATAAGGTAATTTTTACAAAATTGAAATTTTTGCGTCTCATACTTTATATATAATAATATATTTAAATTGTTAAATTGTATTCAAAATCAGAGATAATCGGTTTTCGGAAGTATATCCATATCTTCGAATTTATAGGGTTTAGAGGAAAAATATGTAATTAAAATTGCATGGTACGAAAAGGGCTATTATATGGCAACAATAATATTTGTCTACTTAAACGCGCTTCGGAGATTTCAAGATTAATTTTTTTTTTATTAAAGATGGAATTATATGATTTTTACATATTATGATATTTTATATGTAATATTTTTTGTATGATATGATTTCTCTAATTATTTTGTATGTAAAAGTATTAAGTTCGAGATATAAAAAAATCAATAGTTCCCCATGTGAACAAAAATTATTGTCATCATATAATAGCCCTCTTGATTACTGTACAATTTATTACTAAATTTTTATTATACAAATTTTCCTCTGAACTTTATATATTCGAAGATATATAAAGCGATAATATTATATTACAGTTATTGAGATGCTTTGTATATATACGGAAAAATAATATATAAAAATTATATTTTCTAAAATATCTCCTCTATACTATATTTGAATGTTGCATGCTTACATTTTATTGATTTGCGCAGACTTATTTTAATGCTTTTGTTAATTATTTATTATTAATTACCTTATTAACTTTTAAATTACGCAATTTCTGTAAGTATATTTATTGTAGCATAAAGTATTATCTTATTAGCAAAATAATTGTTTCTGACAAAACTTAATTCAGTTATGTGTAGATAAAACATTGCTGTACAATATGCTGAAGAGAATAAACCAAAGACACTAGAATATGTGTTACTTAGAAATTACTAAAAGGAATGCACGGCTTTTTAAACTTGTTTTGACACTTTGCGTTAGCATTGGCCTAACATGTACAATATAGCAACATTCTCAGCAGTATTAATTTACTACTTAACGATATAATACTTATACTCTTATACCTATACTACATATACGATCGTTCCGAAATACATATCAAAGTATTTATTGTGATACGCGTTTTGATAATAGATTAAAATTACGATTACGAAGTCACAATTGGTCTCTGCTTACAAATAAATTTATAAATGCGGTGTTACGTATAGGTATGCGATAAGTAGAGACTTGTAGCTGGAATGTTTGTATGGGGAGGGGTTTTCAGCATGATATGTTTCAGAGCCCCACAGCTCTAGGTGGTGTCCCTCCAAGAGATCCTGCCTCTCATTTGACCAGACGCAGGCACAGCACGAGCCTGATATTCCTCACTAACCAGGTACATCCTTCCCTCCTGTAGCCTCGATAAACTGAGTCCAATTGTTAAGATTCTCGTTCATACGAGCTTCTAACTAGTTAATTACGCGCGGGATATAATAAGAGAAAATTTCTTGTTGAGAACTCTCCTTCAATTCTCTATAAATTTGTATATTCAGTATCATTCATTTTCGATATAGAATACTACAAATGTAGTAAGTAAAATTGCAGCAGAAAAGATCATTTTGCAGAATAATAAAAAGAAGATGTCGAGGTCATTCAGAAAGTATAGAACAGACTATTACGAAAAATTAATATACATAATATTTTGTTGTCTCTCTTTTTTGGAAACTCATAAATGACAAATTTCTTTTTATACACTTGGATGTGGAATGGTTTAAACTGATGCAATTTTACCTTATTTTTTAAGGCTAGATGTATATCAAATTTCTCGATAGAATCGCTTCTTTGATACGTGTTACCTGGAATGATCAGGCCAGCTTACACAAGACAATATAATCTCACGATAACTGTAATCGTGCTTGATATATTTTTGCATTGAATGTGCATCTATGATTTTTAGCGAGCTTATTCATTATGCGTCAGATGTTACGATGTATTTGATTTACACTTTTCTCTCGTTTGATATATACACTATATATGGGTTTTGTATCACCAAATCACTTGCGTGCCTAAAAATCACCGCAATGAAATTAAATCAACCAATAATACAAGGCTCAAACAATTAATAAATCTAATCTGTAAAATAAAAGAGCTACTAACCAGAGTTCCTGCTAAATTTATAACATTGAAAGATGTTCAGTGTTGTAAATTTAATGTAATGTAATTTATTACATTACATTATACAAAATAATTTGCTAGGTAAATTTCTGTTGAGATATTGGATAAGTATCCATTTTTTAATTGCTATAGCAAAAATTTATCTAGCGAATTATTGTGTAACGAATGTCTTAAATCAAACATATTGTTAAATCGATATATATAAATTTATAATTCCCTTTTATACAGAAATGCGTTACTGAATTAACATTGAGAAGGACCTCACAGATAGTTCAAAACGTTTGTTTATTGTACAATTTGTACATTAAATTTATAGCTGAACATCTTGCTATGGCTCATAGATTTTTATTTTACTAACAAAAATAAATGTTCAAGGTCTGAAATAATTTGTATATGCATATGTACTTTCGAAAGAAACGTGGTCCTCCGAAAAATCCAATATGGCAATTCAATGTGGCACCGAGAAACGATGAACATCACATGCAAATTTAACAGTGTATGTAATATTTATCGCTTTTCAGTTCCATCTGTTGGATTTTAAATGTTAAAAACCCACGTTTTCTTTCCAAATGAATGCATATATGAATAATTTGAGATCTTAAATGTTTATTTTTGTTACGCTGATTTTTGACCACGCAGGTGATCTGACTGACGTAAAACGTCTTGTATATATAGAGTGTCCCATTTTAATTGCCCCAGTATCTTAAAAAATAGATACGAAACATAGATAAGAAAAATGTTTCGGGTAAAAATGGAATGGCTTTAAGGAGGACGTGTTTTGGTTGTTTTTCTTCTTGATTGAAGCATCAAAAAGATATGAAAGACACCCCTTCACTTTTTTAAATGAAATTATGATTTTTTACATATAGTACGATTTCTGTAATTATTCTGTAAATAAAAATATTATAAGGTAGAGTGGAAGTGATCTTCATATCTTTTTGGCGCCTTTATTTAGAAGAAAAACATGATCAAAATATGCTTCCCTTGAGACCGTTTCATTTTTATCTAAAACATTTTTTCGTACCATACGTATTTTTCAAGATATTTGCGTGGGGCAATTAAAATTGAACACCTTCTATATATAGGATGGTGTCTACTTTAATCAATCCAATAAAATATTTCAAAATCTTCAAGTTTAAGACAAAAAATGTTTGAAATAAAAGTTGCTCAGTTACTTGAGGGAAAGAAGATGGTGATTTTTTTGACCTTGCAATGTTCTTAAAATCAGATTTAGGTTACCTAAAATTTTTTTAATGGAATTATGAAGCTTTTTTCACATAGTATAATTTTTTATTATTGTTCTGCATACAAAAGTTAATATGGAGATATCAAAAAATCAAGGTTACTTTATTTATTCTTGCACATATTAACATGAAATATTAAATATCTTGAAAACTGTTCATTTTTTTGTAATGTAATTTAATACTTTTATATGCAAAACAATGCAGAATAATTAGAGAAATTGTTATGTAACAGAAACTACATAATTCTATCGAAGAATTTTTAGGTGACTTTGACCTAAACTTAAAGTTTAAGGGTATCTCAAGATTAACCAACATCATTATCTTCTTTCCCTATAGTAATCGAACAAATTTTAGGGTATGTTAAGTTAGCACCCCAACTATAGTACTCAGGAGTTCTGATTAGAGTTCCCACTTCCTTTTTACGAGACGAAGAGTTCTCTGTAGTTAATAACAAGAGTTCCGCTCAATAAACATTTTTTTAACATTTTTTAAAAAATGGGGTGCTAACTTTTTATCGAATTTCGAGGTGGAACAGTTCTGAGCGGCTTAATAGCTTCAATTTGCGATTGCCTAGAGTTCCTGATATGTAAAAAAAATTTTCGAATGTTAAAAAAATAATTAAAAATTTTTGAAAAATTAATTTTTAGATACAATAGTTCTGATGATAATTTCTGCTTCTTTTCGACGATACGAAGAGTTCTCTATGATTTTTAATGACATATGCGCTTAATAATCATTTTTTAATAATTTTTTAAAAATGGGGTGCTAACTTTTTAACGAAATTCAAGGTCGCATAGTTCTGATCAGCTTAACAGAAGTATTTTGTGAATACCTAGAGTTCTTGATACATAAAAAACATTTTTGAAGAATAATAAAGTTTAAAAAAAATAGTAGAAATCTTTAAAAATTTTTTTGAGAGTACCGAGTAGTTCTGAGTAGCGTTTCTTATAGTACTCGACGAGTTCTATCGAAAACTGTAAGGTGAAAAAGCGATTGGACCAACGGTTTGCAAGATACAGCGATATTTGTCGGAAGATCAACAATTTTTAGAGTGTATCTCGGAAACCGTTGGTCCAATCGCTTTGAGCCCTGATACTTTTCGACAGAACTCGCCGAGAACTGTCCAGAACTCCGATCAGAACTACTCGGTACTCCCAAAAAATTTTCCGACGTGGGACTTTGAAAAAAATTTTTGATCAAAAATTTTTTGGGAGTACCGAGTAGTTCTGATCGGAGTTCTGGACGGTCCTCGACGAGTTCTGTCGAAAAGTATCAGCGCTCAAAGCGATTGGACCAACGGTTTCCGAGATATACTCACTAAGAATTGTTGATCTTCCGACAAATGTCGCTGTATCTTGCAAACCGTTGGTCTAATCGCTTTTTCACCTTACAGTTTTCGATAGAACTCGTCGAGAACTATAAGAAACGCTACTCAGAACTACTCGGTACTCTCAAAAAATTTTCCGACGTGGGACTTAGAAAAAAATTTGAAGTCAAAATTTTTTGGGAGTACCGAGTAGTTCTGATCGGAGTTCTGGACAGTTCTCGGCGAGTTCTGTCGAAAAGTATCAGGGCTCAAAGCGATTGGACCAACGGTTTCCGAGATATACTCACTCTAAAAATTGTTGATCTTCTGACAAATGTCGCTGTATCTTGCAAACCGTTGGTCCAATCGCTTTTTCACCTTACAGTTTTCGATAGAACTCGTCGAGTACTATAAGAAACGCTACTCAGAACTACTCGGTACTCTCAAAAAAATTTTCAAAGATTTCCACTATTTTTTTTAAACTTTATTATATTTCAAAAATGTTTTTTATGTATCAAGAACTCTAGGTATTCACAAAATAGTTCTGTTAAGCTCATCAGAACTATGCGACCTTGAATTTCGTTAAAAAGTTAGCAGCCCATTTTTAAAAAATTATTAAAAAATGATTATTAAGCGCATATGTCATTAAAAATCATAGAGTATCGTAAAAAAGAAGCAGGAATTATCATCAGAACTATTGTATCTAAAAATTAATTTTTCAAAAATTTTTATTTTTTTTTTAATATTCGAAAATTTTTTTTACATATCAGGAACTCTAGGCAATCGCAAATTGAAGCTATTAAGCCGCTCAGAACTATTCCACCTCGAAATTCGATAAAAAGTTAGCACCCCATTTTTAAAAAATGTAAAAAAAATGTTTATTGAGCGGAACTCTTGTTATTAACTATAGGGAACTCTTCGTCTCGTCAAAAGGAAGTGGGAACTCTAATCAGAACTCCTGAGTACTACAGTTGGGGTGCTAACTTAACATACCCCAAATTTTATCTGAAACGGTTTTGTCTTAAATTTAAGGATTTTGAGATATTGTCTGAGGGATGGATTAAATGGACTACATTGTATGTATCTGTATATATATAATGTATATGTATACACATACACGATCTAACGTTTTGTACGAAAGCGACACTTTTAATGTTGAATATCGTATTATAGTTATATATACATGTTCACGATATCATCAGCTTGATCATTATCATTCACAATTACCCTCACATATCATCATACTTTCCAGACCAATCTAGTTGGCAGCTCTCCTTTCAGGGAGCGACTTGGGAGCAACCGTCTGCCAGAGAAACCGAGACCAAGGTTTGAATATGTTTACCTTGTTGATTTCAGCATTGTTGCTTTGCGCCAATCCTTAACTGCATAGTTTTGCGGATTCCTCTTTTGTTCTTTTTTTCAGTGGATTATTCCAAATTGGTGTGTCAATAGTTTTCATTCTTGCTTGGTTTATCATGTACAACGAGTGTTCGCTGGAGCGAGATACTTTTGCATTACATTGTGTTTAATTGGCTTATTGATTTTGCGAAACATACATTGTTTTACCAATGCTACATACTTTCAGTGCGCATTTGATGTTAAGTAGAATTTACTTGTAGTAATTTTAGTACAAGAGTGCATTTGACTTGAATAAAGATGGAGAATCAGAGAGCAACATTTAATACTGAAATGCACGATGATAATGTGAAGTATGAACGTAACATGATCATTAAACTATTTTTTGATGCTTTATTAGAATTTGACATTGTTTTATAAAGTGTATGGATATGTTCTGTACATTAAATCAGTTTCTTTTCAGTTTAACGCTTTCGGTGATTGCTTCATACTCTTGCTAAATACAGAAGCACAATTAAAAAGAGGATGCACCAGCACTTACATCTGACATAAACATTGCGTACAACGTTTTCGGCCGCACTATTATTGTGCATGTCTTTTTTTATTTTGCGATTATTGAAGTATTCTTGAGTATCTTTGCATACTACATGTACTACAACAAATTATCCTTGTCCCGCACTTTTACTCATCTTGGGCTTTGGTAACACCGTGTCACTTTGATTAATATTCTCTCGATGCTACGGAGCAGATGCGACGTATTAGGAAGAAAGCGAGAGAGTTTAAATAGATCCCCCACACAGTTTCTGTATCTTTCAGCTTCTTTCATCTTTTTCTGTTTGTCTGATTAATGCCCGGTTCAGAAAGCATACATACACAACGTACTGAGGACGAATGAGATGCAAAAGCTTAAATTTAATACACAGCATCTGTATGTATGCTCTATGTGACCGTTTAGAGCATTTTGGTAGTGAGTGAGGGAGTGACGGGGTTGTTGTTGCTCCTCTGTACAGGAGAGGCATGTAGTGAATACCGCTGCGGCTGCCCGCACGTGCCTCGACACTCCTCGCCACGTGCCAAACAGGTTGGTCTCACTCTCTTATTCCTTTTGCAATTCAGATTAAGAATATGAAATTATTTGTATACGACTTTCAACATTAAACACATACGCGTTTTATTTTATAATATGTACAGGCTTTAATCGCAAACTCATATTGTCGAGTATTCTTTTAATTTCACATACTATACGCAGTCAGCCATATACATATACATTCTACTATATACTAAATAAAAATCATTGTATTAAACCAATTTTTACTTAACTTATTTTTGACTACTTACTAACTTGAACGCAAATTAAAATGCATGCTTAATCTTTAGGTAATTGGTATGTAGCAAGAATATTATTATTCGATATGTATCATTAAGAGATATATATATATTGTCAAAAAAAGTTGTGAAAAACAAAAACAGTCTATCAAAAAAGAAATTTTCGTTTTTTGTTTATTTTCTAAAGGATGTTTTTTTATTTATTTTATAAAGGATATGAAATTTAAACTTATACTACTAGATTAAAAGAAATACTCAGTAAAACAGCGGTATTTTATATATTTCATTCTTGAGATTGACAAAAATAAAATTTATATAACGAATCAAACTTAAATAACACATCTTGCAATAAAAAAGCGTAGGAATTGTTTCTGTAGAGATTTTTTTTATCTGATTTGATGACATAAAAAAAATAAAATATTTTTGCTTATTTTAGGTAGTGTTTACATATAAATTGCTTCGTAGAGAGTTTGCATTTTCTTTTCTACGAACTAGTACAATAACTTAATAAATGTTCTCTATTTCATACGTGATTTAGATCTGGTTCGAAAGTAATGGACAGAGGACGTGTATCACCTGCCAGTGAAGCTGTTTTACCGTTGTCGCTCGAGCAACAGCAGCAGGATCATTTTGATGCTAATGACGATAGGTACAAGAATATTATTTATTTTAATAATACTCCATTTAACGTAGAACAGTAAGATGTGCATTAACTTGTGTTTTTAATTATTATTAGTGATTTAATTATGAACTCTTTATTATGTATCTGTTTACAGTACAAACCAGGAGCTAACCAAGATAAAAAGTAACGCGACAAACGTGGAAATTTTGGAAGCCATGAAACATCCTCAGACTGGTGTTGGTTTTTTAACACAACATCCCTCACTTCCTAGCCAAACATTTGTTAGCGCCGATGCAATCCAATGGTTAAACAATCATGTAGAAGGAGGCATGGAAATCGAACATGGTATTAATATTATGAAGGTAAAAATTTTGAAGAATTTTATTATTTGATTCAGTTTACAATTTGAATTTGATATTATCATAATACTTAATCTTAACTTGCACACATATAATAATATATTGCGCACATTGCTTACATTGCATACCTTTGTGTAATTAAAAAATATTGTAACAGAGGTACATTAAAATATAAATTCCGAAATATTTAATATATAAATTATGTAATATTTTAAATAATATTACGTAAAATATTATTGAAAAATATTTTGCATATATTTATTATGCTGTGGTGTGGTTTTATACTCCTTTATAGTTAACATTTTTATTTTACATATATTTTATTGCACTTGAATAAAAAAGAGGAGATTTTAATTATACATTTTATTTAAAATTTTGTTATAAATAAAATTATACATAAATAATTTATCTGTTTTATAGGGAATGATTCAAGACAAATTGATATGTCATGCATCTGGTGACTTTTTACAACCCTTCGTCTTAGGATTTTATTTGTATCATATCGTGCAGGATAAAGAAAATCAAAAAGGTAAATGCGATCGAATTTTCAATGATTCGCAATTTAATCACGTTTTTTTTATAATAGCCGCAGACTATTCTGCTCCGCTCGGGAATTTGCAAAGTTTCGAGAACGAATGGGTAGAAATAGAGATGAGACCACCGAAAGGATGGTGTGAGCCATCTTCGACAACAGTGCCCACAGTATCCACAGCTCCTAGTTGCGATACTATTGACGAATCCAATGTTCCATCTTTTTTGAGAGATGATATCGATTTGACTGAATCAATGGATGATAGAAATTGGACAGGTAACACTAAAAATATTTAACGTATGATTTATATGTATACACCTTCATATTACATCACAAGTATCTCGACCGAGTATTCGATAAATATCGACAAAAGAGGACCCATATGACTTTAACCTTGACATACGTTGTCAAGGTCGTGACACTGAGTAACTACCAACAGGTTTTAATTGACCGTTTGTTTATGTCAAGATAATCAAGGCTGGGTCCCTTTTTGTCGATGTTAACTGAAAATATTTGTAAAATAATTGCCTGTTAAGATTTGTTTGATAAAGTTTATATATTAAACGAATTACTTGTATAATTTGTTCTCTTTCAGTGCCATTGTATAAACACACTCATTTGGATATTGATATTAATAATAAAAGTGACAGGATCGAATGGGGTCATTTAAGATATCAGTCTATTTATAAAGTAGATAATTCTTACGAACTTGTAGTTCAATGGGTAGCATCATCAGGCAGTATAGTAGCCGATCTGGTAAATATCGATCTCCCCTTTTTTTATTTTTTTTTATTAGAACATGAGAATCAATGTTGAAACGCTAATAATCAATATCTGACTGTAAGATATTCGTTTGGCAACGCAAAGCTCAAATGTGCGGGATACAAATGGTACCAATTCCCTGTGATTTGTTGGCGCTGCCATATACTTTGAAAAGCGATCCTCTAAGAGGACCTATTTTCATACCACTCGATACGGAATGCTTGATGACAAATAAGCGGCACCTTTTTGAAGGTTTGTTCTAAACTCTGAACTAATTTGATTTTATTATATTGGTCTTATTTTTAAAAAAGTGTCCTATTTGATAGAAATAATAAATACAAATTTGCAGAATTCCGAGAAGATACCTATGCGCAAAGATTATTTTTATTCCAAGAAGCAATTTTGCAGAGATTTGGTTTTATGTCGTGCTTAGTCGAGAATACTGAAAATGATCGTCAATACGTTCACATTACTGGCAATGCATTTATATTAGTGCCATCCACTACGAATACTCGGCCGCGTCCGCGAACGGCTACCAATGTCGTACGACGAAATACAGGACAGAAAAGATATCCGGTTCATTCAGATCAGTCTAGTCCGCATGAAGCGTACATTACACGACATGTTGGCGGAAAAAAGGATGACCATAGCACAGATAGGAAAGTAAGTAATTTTATTGCATACTTGAACAATTATTTAAACTTTCATAAATTAATAATTATTAGTGTAATAGGAAGAGTTAGATTTAATAATGTATTCTCTCTGAATAAAATATGAAGAAAGTTAATCAAACAGTTTCAGATCTATATTATGATATTTTTTTTCAATAGCATATTTTTTTAAAACATCTAACATCAAATATACAAAAAATCTAGCAACCAAATTGCTTAACAAAAATTATACTTAATTGTTATTAATTTTAGGTGGGCTTTTTATGGTCTTGGAATCATATGGTCAGCCGTAAGTGGAAGTCGTTATCTCTTTCAGCGGGCGATGAATTTTTCCAGAAGAAAATCATACAGGATTTTCGACACTTTTGTTCCAATGGAGACAATAGACTTAAAGAATTTTGGGAATCTTGTTGGGAGTTAAAAGAAAAAACTTGTACAAAAGCAAAGTAACAAGATATTGTTTTTTTCCAAAGATTTATGAAATGATCGATCATTTTTCATTTTGTAAATTTCATCAAATTGTTATTGTTATTTGACTGTTAGTCTAATATTTCACGTGTCGTACGACAAATTTGTTAAGCGTGTTGATTGACTGCAAAATAGAAATCCAAGAACCTCTTTATTCTACAGCCAACCAACAAGCTTGAAAAGTCTTATCATACAATACATGAAATATCAGCCATAGGTTTAATTTATCAAAATATAATTGTACAATGTTTATAAGATATAAGTCTGTACAATTTTTGTAAGCAGGATAATAAAAAAAAAATAAATTGTACAATATTAGTATATAATATAATAAAAATAATAATGATGATGATATATATTATTATATTATTTAAGAATTAATGCCAAGCTGTATTTATAATTTTAGATTTGCATTTTATTATTTCTATAAGATTTATGAATAATATGAATGAACAGATTCATCGAGTTTGCATCCATTGTTTATCATTCATGCTAATGGAGCAGTTTTTTTTTTAAATTAAATCTATCTGTATAATGAATGCAATACAATTAACCTTCTAATTGGAGATCTAAGATATCTTAAGGCTCCTGAGTACTCAGCCAAGAACTCCGCGTTGATGGTGGCGATGAAAAGTGGATAATATATGATAATAATGTTCGAAAAAAATCGAACGAAAAAAGTGGTCGGAAAGAGGTGAGATATCACAGACAATTGCAAAGCTCAGATTGATGTCAAGAAAATGATGCTATGGTCGGTATTCATAGACAGTTTTTATATTTACGACCGTCTTAAGTTCAGTCTTGAGAAATCACGAATCAGAGGGCTGCATTAGCGTCTTAAGACATTATTTAAAACAGTCTTATAATAATAACTAACTATGAATAACGTCCTGAATATCTAGTGGGGCTTGAAAGGATTTTCATCCTTTATTCGTCCATTATGAACTGCTGCCGCCAGGCAAAACGATTGATATCTACTACATCAATAACTAATGCGATTGGAGCAATCCATTCAGAAAAAGTGGTCAGAATTGATTAATAGAAAAGACGCTGTCTTTCATCATGACAATGCTAGATCGCACACATCTTTGATGACTCGACAAAAATTGAGAGAGTTTGATTGGGAAGTTTTGATGCATCTACCGTATAGTCCTGACCTTGCATCGTCCGATTACCATTTGTTTCGGCCTTTGCAGAATTCCACTTGACTTCAAAAAAGACTTGTGAAAATCAGTTATCTTGATTTTGTTTACCGAGAAATCACAGAAGTTCTATACAATGGAACAATATGGCTTCATCCGAAAAATGACAGAAGGTCATCGATCAAAACGACACATATTTGATTTATAATGAAATAAGGAAATTTATAAACAATTAAAAAAATATGTTTTAATTATGCTCTAACTTGTAAAAAGACTCGTCGTAATAATTATTGTAACGTATTGATAACCAGACTTCTCGTGAGTCGAACAATATATTTTAATCATACGCTGAGTGTAAATCTGCTGTATACATATCATATAGTAGAAGAAACTTATACCACAATGGCGTTCATATGCATTTCGCCCCTAAATGCATTTGACATAAATGAACGTTTGATAATTCAATTTTATTTTTTCGAGTTTTTATATATCTATCTGTCATATATCATATTAAACAACTTAAACTGCGTTTTAAAATTTACTGAATATCTATAGTTTACATCACGTGCACTATATTAGTTTTTCGGTACTGACAATAAATTTTGGAAAACAGTAACAACTTAAAAAGTATTTTCGAAAACGTTTTAAAAAAATATTAAAAAGTATATATTTAGGGGTAATATATATATATATTTTTTTTTTTTATTGCCGTCATATTATGCGCAATACAACACCTTGTCTAATTCCACCATGGATTCGTCATTGTTCTCTAAAAAATATAGCATCGGATCATGAATGAATCGTATGTGAATGGCTTTTCAAACGAGTAATAACGTTTCCGTAAGAACATATTTTACACACAGTTAAATCGTAACGAAGCGTTATAACGATGATTGTGTTTCACATTGAACGATACAATAATAAATGAGTTATTGTCAAAGGCGTGCAATGATGACCAATGATAACGACATTGACAGTTGGAAGACGGGGTTCGAGTCTAATGAATTCGTGCGAAAGAGGTTTGGTCTCGTCGATCAGGTCGATTCCGGCGAAGATGTGACTTTAACGCGAGTGAAAAACTCTAATTCTGGTCCCGAGATCCGTTACATCAACCCTGCCATTTATACAGAATCCATCAGCAAAGAAGGGCCTGAGAGCGATCATGAAGGTTGCTGTCAAATCTAAATTAGAAGATCGAGGAAACCCGATTTCTTAGATCCTTTTTGAATAAAATTTTTAAACATTAAAATAAGTTTCAATCGAACAAGATAAATAGTAGTAAAAAAGAATAGAAAAATCTTCAGTAAAAACACAAAGTCAAAATGACATCAAAATGAGTAAAAAATTAGTAAAAATTTATTTTAACATAATTTTGACATTATCGTGACTTATTCTATTTGGGATGACAGTTGCAAAACCGGAATCGATATAAAACAGCTTTATTATAGTTAGTGAACATTTTGGTGGGAATAAACATTCCTCTTCTTTTGAGAATTCATATTACTTATTTGCAATTGAATTTCTATCACGATACTTTACGGATTCATTTCTTTGCAGGATATTGTAACGGAAACTCGATCGATGCAAATCATTGCGATTTTAATACTTCGACAATCGATCTATCCATCGTCACGAAGGATACAACGAGCGCTGATCATATAAATGAACACCTGGGACAAAGCACCTACAGATGTTACTCGACATCCTTTCTAGATGCTACATTGCCTCATCCCGAACCATCCACTGCTCGGTCCACGATTTCTTCCGGTAATAATGCACGAGTGGAGCGACGATGCAAGATTGACGGTGTCTTCGTTGATCAAAATAAGGCGAACATTGATCAGAATGAAACGATGAAACGTAACAAGTACGTTTGCTTTACAATATAATTTTTATTTAATCGCGATTTTTATTTAATCTTGAAGTTGTATATGCAAGAGTACGATATCGCAGGTACGATGCTCTGGATGGTCGCCAGGTCGTACGAATTTCCACGACGTCGCTCTCGGTCGAATCAAGTAGTGTCAGCGATCATCAGATGTCAAACCGGTCTGACTTTGGCAGAAGGATCGCTCATTCAGACTGGATGCGCAAAAAACACGAGGCCGCGCAGCGGACGAGGGAGAAAGAGGAACGCGCCGCGAAGAAACGACAGGAGGAGGAAGAGAGGGAGGCGCAAAAAAAGGAAGAGAGGGCGCGGCTGGAAAAGGAGAACTTTCTCAAGTGGGTTGAGAGGAAAAGGCAGCAGGAACTCGACAGAAGAGCGATGCTCGAGAACGAGTTGGAGTTGCAGAGGCGTTTGAAGGAGATCGAGGATAATCTTGCCGGCGCGAAGACCACGTATCTCCATCGGTGGTTTCACAGAAAGAAGGAGGAGCAGAAGGGTGCGACATGCCGATCTCTGATGCTATATGTTATAGGCGTTCAAGGAAACACGCAGAGATGATAAAAATTGACATGTCCCGATTTGCAGCTCAGCGTAAGGAACAGGAGACGAGGCAGAAGAAGATGGATGAGGAGCGCGAGAAGAGGCTGGAGCAAAGCACGAAAGCGTACGAGAAGTGGCGAGAGAATTCTAGGAACAAACCTAAACCTGCCACGCAAGGATTACTTCGTATGTATAACGTACAATAGTAACATATAATAGTCAAACAACAAAGCGATGCAAATGCAAGCTCAAAGATGAGTAAATGACTCTTTATTATTATATCTTCATATACTGATATATTGCTTTCTCGCTTCCAAATCGTTTTTTTTTTTAATGTTCCTACGATTTTTTATTTCTGAGTTATTCGTGAGTTAAGTAAAGGAAAAAATTTAATTTTAATTGCTTATAATTCTGTAAAAAATCATCGTACCGTAATTAAGAAATTAATCAGATTCTTGGACGTATCAAATATCTAGTTCGCATTAATTTGATACGCGTACTAGCCGATTTAATGGAGTAAAAAGGGTTTACATATATTGATTGAAATCGCTACGATCGAAAACGTTATTAAAATAAACTAATACATTATCTTATAGCTCATCAGAAAGCAAAGCCAGCATACGTAAATCCAATTCCTTGGCAATCGATCGCGGAGATCGATTCTGATGAAGCACAAGAGAACACGCTTCACGAGAAAAAAAAGAATATAAATCAGTTGAAAATAAGCGATGGAAAAACAATCGCGGCGCATCAATGATTACGGCCGAGAAGATTTATATTAAAACATTAGATAAATAAGATTTAAATAAAAGATTTTATAGAGTATAACAAATCAAAAGATTTCTTTGGCAATTTTTCTTACTGTTCAATTAATCAAGTCATTTAGAGTCTCAATTGTCAAAATAAAAATGCAAAAAAATTATGTCTTCTACTATTCTCATGAAGCAGAATTTAAAAATTACATTTCTCTTGGCCACAATTCTACTTTCTCCCCTACTGAATATAAATAAAGACAATATATGATAAGGTATCATATTTTGATTGATACATGTCAATTTGATTGAAGTGATTTTAATGATATAGGTTTGTTCACACGTTTAATGACAACCTGAGCTACATAATACAAAGTATTTGATTATAACAAGACAAAGCAGACTTCATGACTTTGCAATCGGTCTCTCTCTCTCTCTCTCTCTCTCTCTCTCTCTCTCTCTCT